TCTGAGGTCACATGATAAGGCCCTGCCCTTCCCATGCCTGAGGCTAGACGCGGGCATGGCTTTTATTCCTGTGGCGCACTGCTGTGGGACTCCCTCCGGGGGCGCCAGACGGGCCTGGCAAACGCATGCTCGTGCAGAATTTGTAGCCATCAGATGCTGGAAGCATTACATACAAGCCCACTGAATTTTTTTAATTGAGGCATGGTGGGCATACAATGTTACATTAGTTTCAGGCGTATAACAGTGATGTGATGATTCTGCAGGTTATGCTGTGCTCACCACAGGGGAGGCACCGCGGGTCCCCAGACGACGCTATTACAATACCATTGGCCATATTCCCTCAGCCGCACCTTTGATTCCCACAACTCATCCCATAACTGGAAGCCTTTGGGTCCCACCCCCCTTCACCCATTTGGCTCATTCTCCACACCTCCCCCCTCCCCCCCAGCCTACTGAATTTGAATCTTCTCAGATGTATTAACTTAGTTATGTAAAAGTATGTTTTTTCTTTATTAACGGCTGAACCGTTTAACATTAGCAGTTGCTAACACAGTAAAAAAGCAAAGTTTAGAATAAATTTGTTTTGTACCCAAAGAAGCAGCAGAGGTCATTTGGAACTTGGTTGAGCAATCATCCCTGGATAAACTGCCTTCTGGGGTGTGGCTCAGGATGCTGCCCCAGGGCCCTTACTGCTGCCGTTGTTCTCAGACTGTACTGAGTATCTGAATCACCTGGAGGGCTGGTTAGAACATGGGTAGCTGGGAATCCCAGCTCCCATCCCCCCCGCTTCCCCCATTATGGAGAGTTTTGGAAAGTAGCTCTGGGTTGGGCCCTGAGATTTAGCATTTTTAACAAGATCCCAGGTGATGCTGACCCTGCTGATCTGGGACAGCAATCTGGGCATCCCTTAATAAACAGGGTTTATTTTGCCATACACAGGTTAGGAATTTTATTAACATACTAATGACATTCTTTTCAGTTGTTCATGTTTCATTTAAGTCCAAAGGCAGGAAAAAACCCCAATGTCCCAGCTCAAAGCAGGCAGGAGGAGTTCCCCCTTCCTCACAGGAGGGTCCATCTTTTCATTCTATGCAGGCCTTCCACTGATTGGACAAGGCCCACCCATATTTAGGAGGAAGTCGGCTTTACGCAATCTACCAATTCAAGTGCTACTCTCTTCTGGAAACACCCTCAGAGATGCACCCAGAATAATGTTTGGCCAAATAACTGGGTACTCCGCAGCCTAGTCAAGTTGACACAAAAAATTAACCATGACATGGGGCTTTCTTCAAAGTGTACCTAGAGAATTATGGCACAGGGTGCATGTTTTATTTGGTAAAGAGTAGGTGAACTTCTGTATTTGAGATTCATTTCCAGTTCAGGGGTTTGTGTAGCAACAGATCATCTTGTCAGTTACCATTTAATACTTGCATTCTGCCTTTCTAATCCCTAACTAGCTTTAGTTGTAAGGCTAAATTAAATAGCAGTGAAAAAAAAAAAAAAACCTAACCGGAGAAACAATATCACAGTACCATGATTTAGATGTCCTCTGTTTTGCCTAGGAATGCCTTTCACACATTGATTACTCCATGGATCATTAATATCAAGTGTCAAAATGTACAGAGTGATTCTTTGCATTTCTCAACATGGATATTTAGCTGACTTTCAGTCTTTGGTGTATTTTTTTTAAGATTTATTTATTCATTTGAGAGAGAGAGAAAGAGCATCTGAGTGTGTGTGAGTGGGGGGAGGGGCAGAGGAAGAGGGAGAGGGAGAGAAACACACTCTCCACTGAGCGGTGAGCCCATTGCCGAGCTCTATCCTAGGCACCCTGAGATCGCAACCCTAGCCAAAATGAAGAGCTGGTTGCCCAACTCTGACTGAACCATCCAGGGGCCCTTCTTTGGTGTATTCTTCTTCTTCTCCTTCTCTTTCTTCTTCTCTCATTCTCCTCCTTCTCCTTCTTCTTTCTCCTTCTTCCCCTTCTTCTTCTTCTTTTTCTTCTTCTTCTTCTCCTTCTTCTTCTTCTTCTGGATTTTATTTATTTATTTGAGAGAGAGAGCACGAGCAGGGGAGAGGGGGTAGAGGGAGAGGGAGAAGCAGACTCCTCGGCTCCATCTCAGAACCCTGAAATCATGACCTGAACCAAAGACAGATGCTTAACCAACTGAGCCACCCAGGTACCCTCTTTGGTGTATTCTTATGTTAGTTCACAATGGACAGCTGTTGTCATAAAGGACTAAATAAAAAAATCAATTTTTTAAGCATTTTGTTGTCCACACACAAAAAAATTTCTTGATTGAAATTTTGCTAAGAATCAAGTGGATAACATCAAAAACACACACACATATATATATATTTTAAAGATTTTATTTATTTATTTGACAGAGAAAGACACAGCGAGAGAGGGAACACAAATGGGGAGTGGGAGAGGAAGAAGCAGACTCCCCGCCGAGCAGGGAGCCCGATGTGGGACTCGATCCTGGATCATGACCTGAGCCGAAGGCAGTCGCCCAACCAACTGAGCCACCCAGGCGCCCACACACATATATTTTTAAAAATAATCTATTTTGCTCTGTTCTTAGGCTAAGTGGCAGCAAATAACTCTGATTTTAGCTCTTTTTTTTTGGACAAAGACATAATTTTTCATCTTGGGAACTACCCGCTAAAACATGATTTCAAGGCCTCAATAGAGTTACTGAGTTGTTAGCCTTTTTCACTCCAATTCAATTAAATGAAATTGATGAAAGAGTCATTGTGAAAATTTCATTGGAGATAACAAAAGAAAATACTAACTGGCTCAACAACATCATTACCAATATAATTACAGCTTTGTATAAAGTGACATTTGCCATGATGATGATTAGAAAATATTGTGACATGAGTGTGGATTTTTTTCTTTATTGATTTTTTGATGTTATCCATCACTCTGTACAGAAGAATGCCCTGTCTCCAAAGTAAAACAAATTACAAGCTATTTAGCAAACAAGACAGTCTAATATTAACCAGAATCACCACTGCTCTGCATGCAAGTATGAGTAGATAAAAAATGGAAATTGCAAAACTTCTGTGTAATTTTGCTGATGCAAATCATGGTAAAGATTATTCTGAATTCACTTAATATGTTCAAATACGTTATGATACAAATTAACGTCATGTTTCAGTGAATATATCATGTTTAAACAATAAAGTGGTTCATGTAGTAAATGTTTTTGTTGTATCAAAAGAATGTCATTAGTGTTGTTAACAAACTTACCTACTTGTATATGGGCCAAATGAACTCTGTTGTGTCAAGAGATGCCCATATTCGGGCGCCCTGGGTGGCTCCGTTAAGTGTCTGCTCAGGTCATGATCTCAGGGTCCTGGGATCGAGCCCCACATCGGGCTCCCTGCTTGGTGGGGAGTCTGCTTCTCCCTCTGCCCCTCACCCTGCTAGTGCTCTCTCTCTCACTCTCTCTGTCTCTCTCAAGTAAATAAATAAAATCTTAAAAAAAAAAAAAAAGAGAGAGCTGCCCATATTCAGCTCTGCCTCGGAGACAACTTTTGCTTTTCATGACAGTGCACAGGATCTTACACTGGGTTGTGGGCCCTTCCTAACATTTCTCATTAGCCTTTTTTCCATGCCAACCACCACCCCCCCAACCCAAACCAAAAACCAGCCTTCTCAGAAAACACTGCGAGTAAAGGCATTGTAGGAATAATCTAACCTTGAATTGTCTCAGCTTTCTATAAAATGAATAGCATATGCTAAGCCTTAATATTTTAACTATTAGTTTAAGAGACTTAGAGCATGGGGCGCCTGGGTGGCTCAGTCGTTAAGCATCTGCCTTCGGCTCAGGTCATGATCCCAGGGTCCTGGGATCGAGCCCCGCGTCGGGCTCCCTGCTCAGTGGGAAGCCTGCTTCTCCCTCTCTCACTCCCCCTACTTGTATTCCCTCTCTCACTGTGTATCTCTCTGTCAAATAAATAAATAAAATCTTTAAAAAAAAGAGAGACTTGGAGCAGAGCTCACAAACAGTAGTGACCTGGAAGTTCAAAACTCCTGCTCCAAAAAACACTAGCACTGTCCCCACCCACACAGGGCAAAAACTGGCAAACATCAATTCTATGAAATAGCTTTACATACCAGTGAGCCTAGAGAAGCAGGAAAAGAGGGCAAGAAGATGTAAACAGTACAAGGGGTATTACATAATTTATCAAACACTGGCAACTGAAAACATATTTAACAAAAACACCGCTCTTAGATGAGGAGACTTATGATGAAAGGGACTATATTTAATCGTGATCATGTTCTCCCAAGTGGCAAGTTCAGAACCACAGCCTTAAATTCTTACAACTAATTTGAATCTACAGTAAAGTTCTACAGTGAGGCATTTTGTATGTTGCTTTGCTTAGATGGTAGTTCCAAGCACAACTTGGTTTTAAGAAAAGTGCATGGTACATCACACCATCGGTCAGCTTGGTCTGCAAACCATGGTTTAAGGAAACTCACTGTATTATAATGAACATTTTCTGAGCTCTGTGCTAGGCATTTATGCTCCAGAGATGAGGAATTTATGATCCCTGCTCTTGAAGAGCTAAGTGCAGGGGAAAATGCCGGACATCTGCTGCTATCTTTATTTCTAAATCACCTAGAAATAAGGTTGTAGGAGACCTAGGAAGGGAGAGTGGCTCAGGCAATAGGGGACCCCAGTTCACCACCCCATCTAACCCTCCCATGCATTGGGTTGTCTGGGGAGATAGAGGCGGAGATGGCAGGTGGGGGTGGGGGATAGTGGGTTAGGGCTGGTGGAAGGAAGATTGGGTGAAATACAATTTACTAATTTTGGAAGTCTGTGTGAGCCTACTTAGCAAGGTGTTTCTCTAATCTTGGTAAAATCTAATAAGGACTCCTATTTGTGGTGATGGTACATTAAGGACTCAAGGCCTAAATGAAATGATAAGTAACGTAGTTAAAAAGAGAACATTATAAAGCTTCTCTTTCTTTTTATATTTTTAAGGACAGAAGAGAAGAACAAAATGGCAAATATGTTATTTTGTTGGATATTTTTCACCCTCGGGTGGACCCTCATTGATGGATCCGAAATGGAACAGGATTTTGTGTGGCACTTAAGAAAAATCCCCCGGGTTGTCAGTGAAAGGACTTTCCATCTTACCAGCCCCACCTTTGAGGCAGATGCTAAGATGGTGCTCAATAGAGTGTGTGGCATTGAATGCCAGAAAGAACTCCCACCTCCCAGCCTTTCTGATCTGGAAGATTCTCTTTCCTACGAGACTGTCTTTGAGAATGGCACCCGAACCTTGACCAGAGTGAAAGTCCAAGATGTGGTCCTTGAGCCCACTCAAAATGTCAGCATGAAAGGGGCATCCGTTAGGAGGAAGAGACAGGTGTATGGCACAGACAGCAGGTTCAGCATCTTGGACAAAAAGTTCTTAACCAACTTCCCTTTCAACACAGCCGTGAAGCTCTCCACAGGCTGCAGTGGTATTCTCATTTCCCCCAGCCATGTTCTAACAGCTGCCCACTGTGTGCATGATGGGAAGGACTACATCAAAGGGAGTAAAAAGCTAAGGGTAGGGTTGTTGAAGATTAGAAATAAGGGCAGTGGCAAGAAACGGAGGGGTTCTAAGAGGAGCAGGAGAGAAGCCAATGGTGGCGACCAGCGAGAGGATACCACAGACAATCTGGAGAGAGCCAAGGCTGGAAGAAGAAGAAAGGAATCTGGTCGGGGTCGTAGAGTCCCTGAGGGGAGGCCCTCCTTCCAGTGGACCCGGGTCAAGAATACGCACATTCCCAAAGGCTGGGCCAGAGGAGGGAAGGGGGATGCTGCCTTGGACTATGACTATGCTCTTCTGGAGTTGAAGCGCGCTCACAAAAAGAAATACATGGAACTGGGAATCAGTCCAACCATCAAGAAGCTGCCTGGGGGAATGATCCACTTCTCAGGATTTGATCATGATAGGGCCGATCAGTTAGTCTACAGGTTTTGTAGCGTGTCCGACGAATCCAGTGATCTCCTCTATCAATACTGCGACGCCGAGTCAGGCTCCACTGGTTCCGGGGTCTATCTGCGTCTAAAAGAGCCAGACAAGAAGAATTGGAAGCGCAAAATCATTGCGGTCTATTCAGGCCACCAGTGGGTGGATGTCCACGGTGTGCAGAAGGACTACAACGTGGCGGTGCGCATCACTCCCCTCAAGTATGCCCAGATCTGCCTCTGGATTCATGGAAATAATGCCAACTGTACTTACGGCTAACAAAAACCTGCAGTGAGTCAATGGATTATTTAAATTGCAGAGCACTCCAGTTATGATTATTGTAGCAAGATCACTTCCTAGGTTATGCCTGGACTCGAACCCTATCAACAACATTTTTATAAATTTATCGTTTCAAAATTAGGAGATTTTTATCTGTTTAAAAAATACCTAGGTATAAATAACTGAAACTAGATGGGCACCTCAATGTCAAGTATATATTCTTCTTTACAGGGTGATAAGTATCATTTATGGGAAGTCTTTTGTTTCTTTCTGCCTTCTTAAGATTAGACACTTTAAAACTTCAGACTGGTACTATAAATAATATGTGATTTCTTAATGGACTTATTCTCAGGGTCCTACTCTATCAAGAATCTAATAGGGTGCTGGTTGCATATTAAAGGGGAAACTGCATATACAGATAGAGACAGTGACATGATTAGCATCAGGGTAGAGACAATAATTTACAACGGCTTGTATTACTTGGAGATGGACCCATTCAGCTCATGCCCTCCATGTTTATATAGTGTTTTCTGTTGGGTCTGAGAAACTTTGGTTTAGTTGTTGTTGGTGGTGTTTTTAAGAATTGCAAGATACAGCAAATTTTATAAACAAAGCTAGCAACTATTTTACTGCTTTAAAAAATGTCAACTGAAGTGTGTATTATTTAAAAATGGGAGAAATACTTTGTTCTATGAAATGAATCTAGTTTAAAAATAGGGAAGCTGAGATTATTTTAAGATCTCAAGTTTTTATTTAATGTTCAGAACGTGGACTTTTCATGAAGGCAGAAGGAAGACAGTTCACAAGTTATAAATGGTCATGTTTTGAAAGCCTCTTCATTTAATGCTAGTCTTCTATGTATGAGGTGTTAAGAGTTTTAGGACCAAGAATTTTAGTCTTTCTCAAGAGAGAGCCTTTTTCCCCTTGATAGATTTCAGCTTTCTTAATAGGGCCACACACATATTATTTTGGCGATTTCTCTGACTAGCAGTTTTAGATAAATCCCTTAAAATGAATAGAATTTACACATACAATTTTTAAAAGAAGGTTCTGATTCTCTTCATCACGGGCCAAGGCCGCACACTGGCTCAGGTCGTCATGGCGGCCCCAGCAGACAGAACCGGTGGCTGTCTTCAGGCAAAACACAGTCGTTACTCACATATTTCTTGAATGGACAGATATTTGCTGAATGGTAGTAAAAGTGAGTTTGTTCAGGCCATTATGTCTAAAGGGTTTTAGTGATTTGCAGTTGAATGCACCATAAAATTCAGGAATTGCAAGCCTAATTTCTGGTCTGCTATTTTTGGCAGTTTCTAGGGCACACATTCTTTTCTCTCATGACTCACCTAAGTCACTGATTCTGCCAGAGTTCAAATTTATTTTACTTGTTTTTTTTTTTTTTGAAAGAATGGGGACTTACACCCTTGATTAGTATGCAAAAGAACATTTGATTAGGTTATAATAAAAAGTGATTTTGTATATCTTGTCCAAAATAGCTGGAATTCAATACAAGTATACATTCTTTTGTAGTGTGAATCTGTTTAAAAATCATTCAATAAAAATTAAAAAAATAAATCAATCATAACTCTTACTATATCCACATATATGTTTTATATACAGGGTTTCAGTGAATATTAACTGTGTAGTTTACTAAAAAAATGATTTTATTTAAGTCTAACTGCATTTCACTAAGCAGTATTTTATCATTGGTGCTAGTGGGATAGGGCTATTGACTCTAAAGTTTTGATCAGATTTTTTTGGGGGAAACATCTATATGATCACTGCAACTGAAAGTGCTTTGACATGAATTTTGCACGCTTACATGCTTGCAAATGCACACAATCTTCATCTTAGATTCTTAGAAAATAATTCCTGGGATTTCTGTAAATTCAGAATAACTTAGGGTATTTGATGTCAGTAGTTTGGAGCTGAAGCTTAAATTCTGAATACATATGATTTCCTTAAAATCATTGTACTTTCCAAAAATACAAAATTTAGCCTATTGTATTTGCAGGGGTTTATTTTATTCTGTCATTCTCTTTTCTTTACCAAGTGAATCATGAATCTTATATGACCTATTTTGGACCACTAAAGTATACTGTATTACTCAGAAAGTTTTATCTCACAATCTTTTCCTGTTACACTTAATCAGATTTGAAATAGAAATTGATTTCATATAGCTGAAGAAATACACTCTTGATGTCTTTTGCGTGCAAAGGTCTATAGTGAGTTTCTGCCTGAAGAAACTTATCAGTGATTTGAATTCAAATAACTACAGTATTTACAAACCAACTGAAATTTAAAATTGTGTGATTTTTTTCTTTACCCAAATAATGTGTTTCATTTTTTTTTTCTTGCTCAAATGGATAAGTGTGTGGGTAGAAGAGACATTTTTTTTTCTTTTTTGATGTGCTTACTTAAATCCCAAATGTTCTTTTTGAAAAAAGATTTAAATGCATATGTGAGCAAGATCAGAGTTCCAGACAAATTATTAGCCTTTTTATTTGTAGATGAAAAAATACTTTGAAATTCTTTTTTCATAGAAAGAATCTCAGGATTAGAAGAGACCATAAAGATCATTTAGCTTAACTCCAAAATTTAGATTTTAACTTCCTTCCATCACATCCCATTCACATGGTCTTCCAGTAAAAAAACTTCACCCATTAAATATTGGTTAGTTATTAAAATTAATTCAGGAATATAACTTACTATTTTAGTTTAAATTATTAGATCAGTTTGTTACATTCTGCAAAAATTACATTGTTTATCTTGCATTTTATCCCAAACTCCACATTTCAATTACTCATAATTCTTTGCCCTTCTGCTAGCAAATTGGGTGTTTACTCTTATCAAAAATGAACTGTGTTGATCCTTAATTAAGAATATTGGGGTAAGGCAATTGAACCAAGCACTGAGCATTACAAAGATGTGGATCTCTAGCCGGAAATAGGATCATATATTCTTTTATATGGTGTCACTATAACAAATACATTTTCGCTACTGATTTTAAAGATAACCTGCCAAGGCTTAAAAAATAGTTTTATGTTTAGTAAACATCTCCAATTAATTAATGGAAGAATATTTCTAATAAATTGATTTTTTCCCCCCAGCTAGAATTGCTCTTTCTTTAATGCCCTAATCATAAGGCTCCAAGATACTTAGGAGATTTGGTCTAATTGATCATGAAATCATGTTCTCATCAGATGAGGTCAGTGTATAGGTGGATTCATGACTCTTTATTGATTCACCATTTAACTGAGGGGGAAAAAATGTCTTAGATGGCTTTCTTTTCTACTTACAAATAAGCCTAGGGAGGGAAATTCCTTGTCTACTTCTTTCTGGGGTTGATAACTGGCAATTTGATTCAGTTAGTTCAACTGTCGAGAGCACGGTGGCCAACTTAGCTTGTAATCCAAATCTAGGCTAGTTTGCTTTACCTCCAGGTAAGGTGTTGTCTTAGTTAGTTTGGGCTGCCAGAAGAAAATACCATGGACTGGGGGGCTTAACCACCGGAATTTTGCTAGGTACCACCTTGCTGTAGACTCACGTGACCTCTTCTTTGTGAACATTCAGAGAGAATGCAAACGAGCTCTTTGGTGTCTCTTCTTATAAGGGATAATCCCGTTATAAGGGCCCCACCTTCATGACCTCATCTAACCCCACATACCTTGCTAAGACCCCATTTCCAAATAGCATTACACTGGGTGTATGCATTGGGGGGTGGCACAGTCAGTCCACAACAGGTGCCCATTCAAAAGCCAGAAGTTGTACCTTGTCCCGGGCCCAGGAAACCTCACAAACACAGCAGCCAACAGAGGAGCAAGGCGAAGGCTGTGAATGGCAGCTTAGGGCAACCAAACTCTTTCTCACCACTTTCATCATCGTTACTTCGAGTGCTTGTACCTGGCACAGAGGAGGTGGCCAATACATGCTAAAAAATATCACCAAGTAAACCTTGAGGGTTCCTCTTTCAGGGCATTACTAATTCTGTGCTACATGACAAGGCTCCGAAATGCTAGAGGTATTGTCTTAATTGTATATTGCACTAAAGCTACAGCTACATATTTAAATAATGGTAATATTTGCAATGAATTTTATCATGGGAATACTGAAGCAAGGTACTTAAGGAATCAGATGTTTGCAATATTCCCTCCTGACTCATGTGTGTGTTTCTGATAAAAGGGCCTACAAACTGATGGAGCCAGGCATCCGTAGTACCCCTCATCCTCTCCATCTGCCATGTAAACATTTAATCAGATCATCTCTGCCTCAAAATTTGCCCCTAAAATCTTTTTGCTTTAGTCACATTTAAAATTTTCCAATAACATCTTAAAATCCACTTACTTTCTTTTTTTTTTTTTTTTTTTTAAGATTTTATTTATTTATTCATGAGAGACAGAGAGAGAGAGGCAGAGGGAGAAGCAGGCTCCCAAGGAGCAGGGAGCCCGATGCGGGACTCGATCCCGGGACTCCAGGATCATAACCTGAGCCGAAGGCAGACGCTTAACCATCTGAGCCACCCAGGTGCCCAAAATCCACTTACTTTCATCAAGCACTGGGGACAAGTAGGCTACTTAGCACATCTACTTCAGTCTACACGGCAGTCCACGTGATCATATGATCCATGATTGCATTCCAGTGTGGTGTTATCAAACTAAGCCTGTCACATTCCCATCTGTGTTTGTAAACATTTTACTAATACAGAAACTCGCATTTATGTCATTGAAATCCTGTATGTATCGATTTGTAAGCTGAAAAAGTGTGTACACTTTCACCCATTGGGCACAGATAAAGGGAATACGTCAGAAACTGCTCCCACGACTGAATACAGAGTTTGGAAGCTTCCTCCAGGCTCTTGCTCAGCCTGATGACCACGCATTTCCTTATTCTTCTGTATATTTTACTTTTAATTTCATCAGCAATTTGTAATATGCCATTAAGATCTGCTACCTAGAATTTCCTTTGTGGGCAATTTCAAGTGTCCAAAATACAACAAAAAATATGAGGCCCCAAATGAGTGACACGAAATTACTTTTGCTGTAGAAATAATCTTAACAAATTAGGTGATCTAATTTCTCAAATTACAGTTAGAAGGTCGCTTGCTGCCAAGGCAAGTCTACAATAATCCCAAGAAGTGATAGCCTGACAGAAAAGGAGGATGCAGGCAAACCACTAAAGGACTTTTTAAAAAAAGGTATAAAGACTACAAAATCGTTTTGGTGCTGTTAGTTATGTGAACCACACTGGCCCCTGGAGGCATACCAATATATGTCATATTTATAATGATTACATGATCAATATTAAATTTAGTTATGTTCAGTATGAGTTTTGGAAGGCATTACATCATAGAAAAATTTTTATCCAAAAAGCTTAACTTTTTTTTTTCCTAGAGAGAACGAATGTGTGTGTGTGTGTGTGTGCGCGCATGCACGTGTGCACGTAAGTGGGGGGGCGGGGGGTGTGGGAGGGGTGGAGGGAGAGGGAGAGAGGGAATCTTAAGCAGGCTCTATGCCCAGCATCAGGCGTGTGGTGGGGGCTCCATCTCACGACCCTGACATCATGACCTGGGCCGAATCAAGACTCGAATGCTTAACCGACTGAGCCACTCAGATGCCCCATTAACACTTCCAAAAAATTTTAAGAGAAACATCAGCGGACTACATAATTGACTTGTTTTATACTCAAACGAAATTCTAATCTCAAAAGTCAAGAAAAATATCCTTCCCAAATATTTTATCGAACCCCCAACCTCCTTCACAGTTAAAATACCTGTGCGTTGTGAATGTTAACATGTTATTGCAGGTTCAGAATCTGTCACCCGGCTGCCGCCGACGTACGCCTACACTTAGCACTGCAGCAGAGAGGTACAGCGACTCTGGTGTGATGGAAAACATTCAGAGTGTGGAATAAAATACCTTTAATTGTCCAACCACACTGGACTGCCTTGTATAAAGTCAATGCTCAGCAAATATAATATGCTGATAGTTACAGTTAGTCTTATAAGATTATAGAAATTCCCTGATATAATTGAAAGAAAGACAGACTGGCATTTCTCATAAGCAGAGGCCAGCAATCATTTCTCCTGACGAACAGGAAGTTTGGGTGTGGTGCGTGTGCTGGGAGGATTAGGGTAATGTGCCTCTGTTCTCTGAAACTCGTCTTCCCTGCCCCTACCCCCTCATTATGTTACTCCCAAGCTTCCAGCTTACTGGGGTTTAGCTAACAACATAATGTTTTTCTAAAAACTGCCCATCAAGGAGCTTATAAACTAGATAAGCAATTCAGGGATTTCCTAAAATAATCCTTACAGTACTGAGGCTTCTGGATGGTAAGGAGAAGTCCCTTTGGGTTCCAAGCACCTTCCCCCTACCAGCCCTTCTCCTCCCATGAATTAATTTGCAATTTTTGCTTTACTTAGAGTTTAAACTACTGCTAATGAAGTCACATACCTGATCACACAACAACATAAATCTCAGGGTATAGGAGAAAAGAATGTACTAGTACATAGTAGAGAGATCTGGGAGGACACATGGATTTTTTTCCCCTCAAAACCACTTTGAATGGATCAGCTGTTAGAAAAAGTTGCAGCTAACAAATCTTGGAAGATACAGCTTTAAATTTTTCGAAAATTTTTCTTTGTGATACCTACAAACACGCTGCTTATTTTTTCTTTTAAAAAATCACTGTGGGCTTGGTGACAAGATTCTACTGCCAAACAAAAGTTCCACTTTATCAAGCAATTGCCTAAAAATAAAAGCATGTTGTTTGGGAGACAGGACCTGAATTTAGTATTTTGCCACTGTACTTAGAACATTTACTTTAAAAGGCTCTCTTTGTGGCCTGGGAAACTAAGTGACACTACTGTACCCACCAAATGGGCAGCTGTGCCTCTTCATGCAGATGGCCACATGACTGATGTGGCTCCACATCACTGTCCTGGGCCGTCGTAGGCCCACAGATGGCAGCATCTCTCTCCTGCGCATACCCTCAAATTAAAGCTTGGTTTTTGGTGGAAACTACTGTATCATAATGCAATATGGACCATCTTTTTTATGACTAGTAACTAAACGTCTCAATTTTTAGACTAGCTGAAACACAATACTCTT